GCGGCCACTGCACTCGTCTGGGCGACAGAGTGAGACTCCAACTCAGAAAAAAAAAAAAAAATTCAGTGAGGTGATTCTTAATATTTTGGAGAGGGAGAGGATTGTAAATCTATACATCTGTTAAAAGGCTATGTCTGGCCTTCTCTTTAGAGAAACCCTAGGACTCACAGTTTGGGGACTTTATTGACACCTTGAAGGTCTTCTGGCAACTGCTAGTTAGGAAATTGTACTCTAATGGAACCCATGCACCGATGTTAAGCTAATGTGTGGTTGAAAAAGAAAAAGACCTGAAATACATGGAGAGTACTAGGGATAGTCCATACATACATGTTCTACTCTGAAAGAATATAAAAAGTGTACATTGCTTTTTCTATAATTAACACTTTGGCAACTGGCAAAATTCTCACTTTCTTAATACTGAGAGCGGGTGAAAATAAAATCTGAAACTGGCTGCTGCAAACTTCTGTTGATAAGCACAAGTGAAATGGTCTTTTCCAAATTGTCACTTTTTTTCACAATACATCTGAAAGTTGCAGGCATATCCAGGATTTGCCTCTGATGCCACTCTGACTATTATTCCGTACTTTGTATTTTTACTCAGGTTATAAGCCTGAAAAGACAGTCTTCCACAATGAGGTCAATTCACATTAGTGACAACCAGGAACAAAATTTGAAATTATGTAAATTTACATCGGCGGTCATGAATAAGTTAAGAACATGAATAAGTTAAGAAGCACTGTATACTGCTAGAGCCCAAAATGGAAAATCTTGGGCATTCAGTTTGTTTAATCAAAGGAAGAAAATCAGAAGAATGACTGCCTATTATGGAAGTGGAGTTCCATAATAGAGTTGGGGTCCTGCTCTGTTTCCCAGGCTGGTCTCAGACTCCTGGGTTCACGCAATCCTCTCGCCTCAGCTTCCCAAAGTGCCGGGATTACAGGCATGAAACACCATACTGGGTCAATTGAGGTGATTTTAAATTCTTATTTTTTGGAAGAATTAAGTACTCTGATAGGCTTAAACTGTGATAGAGGTTTAGTATAGAAAAATTGATGGTATGATAAATGACAGATTCAGTTTGCTTGTTTAATTTGGAAAGGTAACATCTGCCTGAGATAGTTTGGGAATAAGTTTGACAGGTATTTGATAAGACTACATTATAAATTTTCATTTAATTAGAATATGGACTTGACTCTGAGAAATCCTATCATCCCTTCTTGATGTTTTCTAATAAAAACTAAAATGAAATTAAATGGGCATTTCTTTGTTGTCTCTTAAATCTTAGTTGGCCTACTTAATCAAGTTATGAAATTTTTTAATATAAAAAATTTACAATGTTCAGAGATAAGAATTTTGGTTGCCATGTCACTGCAGCATACTGGGAACTTAGAGGTAAATGGTGGCAATTAATGCTAGGTTCTCTTTTCCTGAATTCCCAGTCCTAGTTTCTGATTGCTCTGTTGAGGCAGTTGTGCTTCCAAGTCACAGTGAAGGCATTGCAGCATATGCATTGTTGATACTCGTTATTTGTAGATTTCATATTTGTGTATTTGCCTACTTGTTAAAATGTATTTTTGACCTCGGAATCAATACTTGCAATGTTTTTAAGGTTATTTTTGAACAAAAATTTGAGTCATCTGGTAATCATGTTCCTAACAATGTCAAACAAGGTGTCACTCTTCCTTCTTGTTTCAGCTCTCATACTGTAAACAGGTATCCTTTGTGTGGTCTAAGTGCCATGTTTTTCTCATTTCTGTACTTTTTTTGTTTGGTGATTTCACTGTTTAAAATAGCATCTAGCCGGGCATGTTGGCTCTCACACTTGTAATCCCAGCACTTTGGGAGGCGGAGGTGAGAGGATTGCCTGAGTCCAGGAGTTTAAGACCAGCCTGGACAACTTGGGGAGACCTCATTTCTACAATAATTAAAAAAAATTAGCTGGGTGTGATGGTACACACCTGTGATTCCAGCTACTTGGAAGGCTGAGGCAGAAGAATCACCTGAGCTGAGCAGGTCGAGGCTGCAGTGGCTGTGAGTGTGTCACTGCACTGTAGCCTGGGCAACAGAGTGAGACTCTGACTAAAAAATAAAAAAGCTTCTGAGATTGCTTGAGGCCAGGAGTTTGCAACCATCCTGGGCAACATAGAGAGACCTCATCTTTACAAAAAATGAAAAAATTACCTGGGCATGGTGGTGCACACCTGTAGTCCCTGCTACTTGGGAGACTTAGGCAGGAGGATTGCTGGAACCTAACGGTTCAAGGCTATAGTGAGCCATGATCACACCAGTACACTCCATTCTGGGCAACAGAGCAAGACCCTGTTTCTAAAAATAAAAGTAAAAATAAAAAACCAAAATGTCTTCCAGGTGTTGTATTGAAGTGCTGTCTAATGCTCCTAAGTTCAAGAAGGCTGTGGTGTGCCTTATAGAGAAAAATATGCGTTAAGTAAGCTTTGTTCATGCATGAGTTATGCTGTTGGCAGAGTTCAGTGTTACTGAATCAACAATATATTGTATTGATTTGTTTACAAAAATGTCAAGCCTTAACATTAGTTAACCTGCAGGTTCCCTAGGAGCAATGATTTGGTATTCACTAAATTAGAGTTTGTGGACTTTATTGGACCTAACTATTAATGATAATGAGTATTGCTGTGTTTGTTACGTGTACAGTCAAAGAATCAGAGGCAGAAATGTGCAGGTTGTAGCATAGTGAAAAGAGGAAGGGAAATTTTAAAATTGGCAGTTATAAGTTATTTCTGGAACAGTTTGGCCCTTGCTATGCATATTACTGTGTACCGTTCAGATATTTTTCTCATAGTGGAATGAAGGAAATTAGTCCCCATACCTAACCCTGTTTGTCAGTTTTTCTGAACAGTAAGAAAGGAGTGCTGTGAATCCCTGTGATAGTGTAAAATATATATCAGATCTTCATTTGTGGTTCCTGACATCCAGCTCCTAAAACCCCTTGGAGTCTGCAGTTATGAGTGCCTTTTGTATCCTAATACGATGAGTGGTGGAGGGGTCCCTAGATAACTTCAGGATGAGGGCTTTCACTCAATGACCAAGGCATGATTAGAGGGTTGGGACTTGTAGCCTTAACCCCCAAACCTCTGGGGGAGGAAGAAGGGCTGAAGGAAGGCTGAACTCATCACCAGTGGTCAGTAATTTTATGAATTATGCTTACTTAGTGAAGCTTTCATAGAAATTCAAAAGTACTGGGTTTAGAGAGCTTCCTGATAACTGAACTCATGCAGGCTCCTGGAGGGTGGCATGTCCAGAGGGGCATGGAGGCTCCAGGTTCTTTCCCATATACCTTGTCCTGTACCTCTTTCATCCGGCTGTTTGTCTGGTCTGTCATAATGTCCTTTCATCATAAGCTGGTAAACATGAGTAGAATGTTTTCCCAAGTTCTGGGAGTCACTCTATCAAATTAATTGAACTCGAGGAATGGGGTCATGGGAACTTCCATTTATAATCTGTTAGAAGCACAGGTCACACCTGAGGCTTGCAGTTGGCATCAGAAGTGGGGGACAGTCTTGTGGGAAGGAACCTTCAACCTGGGCATCTGACACTATCTCCAGGTAGACAGTGTTAGACGTGAATTGAGATGACACCTGGCTCGTGTCTGTTCAAAACTGGTTGCTGCTGGGGGAAAGCCCTCACACATTTTGGTGGCCAGAGGTGGTCTGTATTGAGAGAAGAGGAAGAAACACTTGATTTTTCCTGTCTCCGGACACTCTTCAAAAAAGTAAATCTCTTCATGTGCATACTTTACTTTGTTTACTGTGATTCCCCTTGATTTCAAAATGTGTTATCTTTTTTTAAATGTATGTTTTACCCAGTGTTAAAAGAAAAATCTAAGACTGATTAAATGTAATAGAGTTTAATTATGCAAAGAGCAATTTGTGAATTGGGCAGCTTCCCAAACCAGAGTACGCTCCCAGAG